TCGCACTTGCCTTCGAATCTTAATTACCAAAGTGACTAGCTGTTCATGCCCACCTGTCTATGTCCGACTCATGCTGACTGGCAAATTGTGACAGGTAAGGATTCTTTTTTGTTTAAACGTCCGTTGCTTAAGACTTAAACCGAATCATTTGCACTTTTTGATCAATGGGAAAAAAATAAATCATGCTGAGTCATTGTTACTATGATTTTTTTTTTCGTCTAAAAGCAAGGCCTTGAGCGTGCTTGTGGTCTACCATTGTCTGGGGGTCACTGGGTCTCATAGTGAGCAAGTATGCACTGGATAAAGGACATTTTTAAAATAGAGATCGGGCATAATATTATAATATTGGAGGCACATTGAGGCTTTGCAATAGCTAAGATTATTATTTCACAATGCGGTTTCATTTCACGTTTGTTTTAACATATTTAAGGAAATTGTTGGATCAAAATGTTAGATAACCTATATTTTCTCACGGAAAGATATTCTCACGCTTATATTTTTACAGCAACTATCACCATGAACTCACTACATTTTCGTGTGACGGGGTTAACGACGAAACGAATTTCTCATTATTTAGTTTTAACAAGCACTGTATAAGTGAAAGCTGAACACTGTAGATGTGATTTTTCGTCCATCCTAGTATCACAAAATCCGATTTAGTCTAGTGTATATCAATAAGTTTATTGTGTCTTGATCTCACTCTCTCAAAAACTGACACGCCAAATAATGCCGAAAATTATTGTGACGGTCAGCGTTTGCGAAAAAGTTTGCCGACCGCTGGCACAGGGGAAGCCCCCATAGTTTATGTAGTTGTAGCAGGAAAAATCTGCTCACCGCTAGCCCAGGGAAGTTACCAGTCAACGACGTTGTACTGAGTATATGTAAATATTATATTCATAAAAAATGGTATCATTTCTGTTTCGATGGGCATTACCTCTATGACATCACTATTATTGATTGTATGGTATATACTCACACACACACATATAAATAAATGTATATATGTATATATACATATATATATATATATATATATATATATATATATATATATATATATATATATATATATATATATATATATGTATGTGTGTGTGTGTGTGTGTGTGTGTGTGTGTGTGTGTGTGTGTGTGTGTGTGTGTATCATACAATCAATAATGGAAACAGAAATGATGCCATTCTTTATGAATGTAAGACAACGCTGCTGACTGGTAACTTCCCTGGGCGGTGAGTAGATTTTACCTCCTACAACTTTCACTATATAAGGGGACTTCCCCTGTGCCAGCGGTCGGCAACCTTTTCGGCGCGAGGGCCAGTATCCTTCGGGCCGGAGTGCCAAAGAGAATCTAACAGTACCTAGGTGTGCAAAACATGTATGGGAAAGCAGGCAAACCAGTGATTACATTGCACAAAATTTAATGAAAAAAATACACTTATATAATATATATATTCATATATATATATATATTCATATATATATATATAT